TTTTTTTTCCTTTTGTATGGCTGAATGATATTCGTGAATAATGTGCGTTTCAATGAAATCGTGGAAGGCTGGAACCAAAATCCTTTACAACCATCTATCTTTGGTCCCTAATACCGCTGGTATTTGACGATTGATTTCCAGGGTAACCCAACAGTCTTCCATCATAAATTCCAATTCAAGAGCAAAGAACAACCCAATCAATCCGAGTTCCACCAAATCCACCCAAAACAGACCTGCTCCCTCGCTCGCTTCATTGCACTGCACCCACAAAAAAACAATTGGCAACCAAGCACATAAAAACGCAAAATTTCCAAGAAAGCAATTTGTTGCGGCTGCCATTGATTTTTTTTTTTTCTTTTTTTTGCTCTTTTTTTTTTATGGAAAAGATAGAGACAGATGCGGTAAATTTTTTTTTTTTTTAGAAAAAAGAGAAAAACAAAATTATAAGTATAGATTATGGATGGATTATTGGAAAAGAAAATAGAAATTCTTTCAAAAAAAAAAAAAGGAAGAATTCTGAACAAAGAGACTCACGACTCCAAATCCTTATCTAAGAGAGACACAGAAGAACAAGGGCCCTTAATTTAAGGGAGCAAGTAAAGATGAATGTTACCTACTCATCCAAGTATCCAAACAAAAACAATAGCTCGTAATTATTTTTATCAGAATCTGAAATACTTCTATTATTATTAGCGTAATAAGCTAAGAGAAGCACTCTCCATTGTAGAATTACGTACCATGTTTTATAAAGCTAAACCTATATATAGCACAAGTGAGTACATCGCCCATAAACGCATGTAACGACGCCAAAGTGCAGAGCAGTCAGGAAACTTGATAAATTTTGAGGGGCCAGAAACTTGATAAATTTTGAGGGGCCAAAAACTCTTGTGGGGAAAATAGGCAAAGGGGCAAATGAATAAAATTACTAGTAAAATTTAAAGGTTTTGAAAATTTTTGGAGCCTACACACTAAGTACGTAAATAAAACTATAGGGAAGCAAACAGCACTTTCACAGAGTAGAAAGATTAGTAGTGCAAGTATTTCGAGCTACTGAGTAATCTTAATTACTGCTCTAACATTTATATATATATAGAGATTAAAGTTTGAACTTTAAATTTGTAATTAAAAGTATAGATAACTTTATTAATAGGTTATATTTTTTTGTAGATGAATCAAAATATTTATTATGATAATAAAGAGTACAAGGAGTACTCCACTCATAATCTCAAAAATACATTACAAGATAACATCAATAAAAGCAGTCCAAGCCAAATCAAAGCAGGAAGGACTGATAGCATGAGCATCAATTTATTAACAGGTTATATGATTGATGGTACTGCTCTAGCATTTGGGAACGTAGACTAGGCTTGCATAAGATATGTGTTTTTTCATCTACAAGAAACAAGGTCCAATATTTCCTATGAAAATGAGTTTTTAGATTATGAGGCTCCATTTCTATTTCCATTTCACCAAACTTATGGCTGCTTATCTCAAATTTTGAACATAAATTCTAACTTAGAACTCACATATTCATTGAGTATATATATGTAATTTGATCATGAGCATGCATCACATTGTCTTGATTACATAATTAATTAAAGCAAAGGTTTTTTCTTTCTTCGGCCTACTAAAGCAAAAGTTTAATTAGATAATATCTTCTATAATTAGATTGGTTCACAAGGTATTGAAAAACATTTCCATTTTCATATTCTTCTTCTTCTTTTTTAAACACGTGTATCTAGGCTATTCATCTAATTAATTTTTCAAATATTTATAAATTGTTTTATTCACAAGTATTATGCAAGGCTTCATTTTTAAATGTGATGTGTGATCAATTAAAATTATTTATACTTAAATAATATTAGAGAGATTCAAATTTATATTCTCAGTATGATTCAAATGATTCATTAATTATATTAGTCGACCAAATGTGTTCAAGTTTCTTTCTTTTCCCTTGCCCACTTAGGGCCTGTTTGGTGTGGATTGTGGAAAGAGCTTTTTGGCTCTAAAAGCACAAGCCACACCAAACGGGGTGTTTGGTGTGGACTGTGGAAAGAGCTTTTTGGCTCTAAAAGCACAAGCCACACCAAACGGGGTAACTTCCTAAAGTGGCTGCAGCTTTTGAGAAGCTCAGCTTCTCACTTTTCCTTTGCAAAGGCCAAAAGCTCCCAATTCTTACTCCCACGGGAGCTTCTCGCTTCTAAATTAATGAAATTGACATGAACTTCCCATTTTACCCATACACTTCCTTTTATTTATGAAAAAACTACTATATAAAGCACCAATTCATAACATCACAGCCACTGTTGTTTCTTCTTCCTCATCCAATCAAACAATCAAAGAAACAAATCGAAAATCCTCATCCAATCAGAGAAACAAACCAAAAATATCCAACAAACTGAAAATACTTACCATATTCTTTCTCATTTTCTTTACCCCTAAACCGAAAATCCCCTTATCTTTCGTTCGGAGACGAACCCAGTGCCTGGGTTCGAGGCGAACCCAGCGCTTGGGTCCATCGCAAACCCCTCCCTTGGGTTCCGAGACAAACCCAAGCGCGGGGTTCGTCTCGAAACCCAGGCACTGGGTTCTACGACGAACCTGGGTTCACGCGAACCCAAAGGTCAAGAAAAAACAGCAGGGGATTGGGGAGAATAATAAACTTTATAATATTTATATTAATAATTATATAATTAAATGATTTTAAAGTTATATTAATAAAAAATTTAATCATATTATTAATTCTTAT